ATAGCTAAGCCAATATTTTATTGCTGTGTATGCAGGTAGATAGCTAAACCTTTATGAGAAAATTTAAATTTTACTATACTTTCCTGATTTCATATGGATTGGGGTTAGGTTTCAGGCGATAGATACCGAAGCAAAGAATTCCATACATATCAAGGGCTTTAGTGAACACATCGTGAAAGAAGAACTGCAAAACAAGAAAACACTTTTGATTCTATATCAACAATCCTTGATTAACTGAAGACACATAAACTAAAAGTAGAAGATCACAGTTCAAAAAAAGGTGGATTCCCACATCACTTCTTGGGAAAATAGCAAGCTAAAATTTATTTTAAACTATTTCCAGGTTTCTATAGGTATTTCCACTGTGGTATTTTCATTTAAAAAATAGATATTGTGAAGGTATGATACATTATAAAACACACATTTCTGTTGGATTCATCAATATCGGGCTGAACAGAACAGAACTTACAACTCTCCTAGGAAAAAAATTGGAAAAGTCAGAAATAGAATTGGCAGTTTCTAGAAAATCTTTTATGTAAAGAATTCAGACATGGAATGCTGAGCAGAATGAATCCATAGAAATATCAAGGAAGAGAGGATAATGTATCCATAACAGATAACAGATAATCAGAGTTGGAAGGGACTTTGTAGGTCATCTAGTCCAACCCCCCGCCCAAGCAGGAGACCCTACACCATTTCTGACAAATGGCAGTCAAATCTCTTCTTGAATGTCTCAAGTGATGGCACTCCCACAACTTCCAAGGGCAAGCTGTTCCACTGGTTGATTGTTCTCACTGTCAGAAAGTTTCTCCTTATTTCCAGGTTAAATCTCTCCTTGTTCAGTTTCCATCCATTATTCCTTGTCTGGCCTACAGGTGCTTTAGAAAATAGCTTGACCCCTTCCTCCCTGTGGCAGCCCCTCAAATATTGGAAGACCTCTATCATGTCTCCCCTGGTCCTTGTATGTCTCCCTGTTTGTTGTATGTTTTAGCCTCCAGTCCCCTAATCATCCTGGTTGCTCTTCTCTGTACTTTTTCTGGAGTCTCAACATCTTTTTTATAATGTGGTGACCAAAACTGGATGCAGTACTCTAGGTGTGGTCTTACTAAGGCTTTATAGAGTGGTATTAGTACTTCCCTTGATCTTGATTGTATCCCTCTGTTAATACAATTTAGGATTGCATTAGCTTTTTTGGCTGCTGCTGCACACTGCTGGCTCATATTTAGCTGGTTGTCCACTGGGACTCCAAGACCTCTCTCACAGTTACTGCTATTGAGCCTGGTTTCACCCAGTCTATATGTGTACTTTTGGTTTTTCTTGCCTAAGTATAGGACTTTACTTTTCTCTGCATTGAATTTCATTTTATTAGATATGGCTCAGTGTTCTAGTCTGTCAAGATCCATGTGGATCTTGAGCCTATCTTCTTGGGTGTTAGCTATTCCTGCCAGCTTAGTATCATCTGCAAATTTGGTAAGTTCCCCTTCTATTCCCTCATCTGAGTCATTTATGAAGATATTGAAGAGTACTGGGCCTAAGATGGAACCTTGTGGTACCCCACTGCTTACTTCCCTCCATGTAGATTTAGACCTATTAAGGACTACTCGTTGAGTACGATTTGTCAGCCAGTTGCGAGTCCATCTTTAGAGTTGTATCTGATTAGTTCACACTTTATGTTTACAGAATCGTTTCACCCAGTGAAGGAATCACAATGAAAACTTTGTAATATATATTGGACTTGCTTACACTATCCTAGAGAGTTGGCAATAACTCAATTCATATCATTTACCAAACAATGGACTTTAAAAAGAATTATTAGAAAAGTATCGTTTCCTTTCTAAACAGATTAACAGCACATTCTTACCCAGACCACTGCCATTGATCAGCTGTAAAAACAGCTGTTCACTTACCAGTTGTTTTTCTCATGTATCAACTCTTATTATACTCAGATAGATAAGTAGTGTGGAGACCCACTGAAGATATCTTGCCTAAGAACAATTTAAAAATTTGGGCCAATACAAATAAAGGTGACTTTTCTTTTTCAAATACAGGTCATATTACAATCACAAATGTTCCTTGTTCCAAGTGCTCCTAATGATTAGCCTTGATGGAAGCTTTGTCTATTGGCTACAGTATAATGTTCTAAATGTGAATCTTGATTTCAATATTCTGTTTAGGATCAGCTTGGCAATGTTCAAGCATATCATCCAGAGCCACATAATTATAGTTAACTCATGACTATCAAAAGCTTAGCTTTCTAATTCATTAGACAATTATATGAGGGAGCAAAATGGATTAGTTTGAATTAAATCAGCTGGCATCTAACAAAACTTACCAGCAGCCCTTCTATTAATTGTGGATCATCTATTAATGTTAAAAGAGCCAGTTTACATCTGTTTCTAGCTCCCCAGGACATCATATTGCTATTACTGCCAATCATTGAAGTCCCGTCTGCCAAATATTCTTCAAGATCTGGGCTGGTCCCACCTGTCACCAGTGTCTGAAGCAAAGCTAGCACATGGTAATTATTGTAGGTCTGCAATGAGAATTGATAGAAGATCAAATAAAACATTTGTGTCAATCAGATAAGAGAAAGGTTTGCAAACTAAGTTCACTCAGAATTACTGTAAATGCCCAGGCTGTAAACTTCACCTGATTGGCCAATTCCATTCATAATGATTTGACTGCAAAGAAATCTGTAGATATGCACTTCCTTTTTTTAAAGACATGTATTAGAAAAATCAGGGTGTGGACTTCTTGGATCTAGTTGTGTCCAGCATGAAGAATCAGGACCTCATGTTAAGTTCCTGTTAAGCTGGTTTATTGCTTGTGCCTATACACAAGAATGTAGTCAACTGATAGCACTAAATTGGCATCAGATAAAAGTCAATGGAATTCAAGGGGTCTTGGACTTAGATCACTTGTGGGAATATAATGACTCCAGACTGATTCCTCTCTTGACTCAGCCTCCCGTCTCTGCTTCTCCTTCTACAAGTTGTCACTCAACTTATTGCTAACACTGTTGGAAAGCATTATATATGCCAAAGAGAGAAAGAGTCATATTTTCCAATCTTCCTTTTCTTCTTTATATATTTTCTGTTCTTAACTTCTTAGTTAAGAGCACCTTGCAAGTAGCTGCCCCTGATTTTTTATTCTTACATCAATAGATAAATCTTTTATTATGGTCACAGATGAGAATTAAAATATTGAAATAAAATAAAATACACTGCTCAAAAAAATAAAGGGAACACTTAAACAACACAATGTAACTCCAAGTCAATCACACTTCTGTGAAATCAAACTGTCCACTTAGGGTAGCAACACTGATTGACAATCAATTTCACATGCTGTTGTGCAAATGGAATAGACAACAGGTGGAAAGCATAGGCAGTTAGCAAGACATCCCCAATAAAGGAGTGGTTCTGCAGGTGGTGACCACAGACCACTTCTCAGTTCCTATGCTTTCTGGCTGATGGTTTGGTCACTTTTGAATGCTGGCAGTACTTTCACTCTAGTGGTAGCATGAGAAGGAGTCTATAACCCACACAAGTGGCTCAGGTAGTGCAGCTCATCCAGGATGGCACATCAATGTAAGCTGTGGCAAGAAGGTTTGCTGTGTCTGTCAGCATAGTGTCCAGAGCATGGAGGCGCTACCAGGAGACAGGCCAGTACATCAGGAGATGTGGAGGAGGCCGTAGGAGGGCAACAACCCAGCATCAGAACTGCTACCTCTGCCTTTGTGCAAGGAGGGACAGGAGGAGCACTGCCAGAGCCCTGCAAAATGACCTCCAGCGGGCCACAAATGTGCATGTGGCTGCTCAAACGGTCAGAAACAGACTCCATGAGGGTGGTATGAGGGCCCGACATCCACAGGTGGGGGCTGTACGTACAGCCCAACACCATGCAGGACATTTGGCATTTGCCAGAGAACACCAAGATTGGCAAATTCACCACTGACACCCTGTTCTCTTCACAGATGAAAGCAGGTTCACACTGAGCACATGCAACAGACATGACAGGGTCTGGAGACGCCGTGGAGAACGTTCTGCTGCCTGCAACATCCTCCAGCATGACTGGTTTGGCAGTGGATCAACAATGGTGTGGCGTGGCATTTCTTTAGGGGGCCGCACAGCTCTCCATGTGCTTGCCAGAGGTAGCCTGACTGCCATTAGGTACCAAGATGAGAACCTCAGACCCCTTGTGAGACCATATGCTGGTGTGGTTGGCCCTGGGTTCCTCCTAATGCACGACAATGCTAAACCTCATGTGGCTGGAGTGTGTCAGCAGTTCCTGCAAGACAAAGGCATTGATGCTATGGACTGGCCCACCCGTTCCCCAGACCTGAATCCAATTGAGCACATCTGGGACATCATGTCTCGCTCCATCCACCAACACCACGTTGCACCACAAACTGTCCAGGAGTTGGGGGATGCTTTAGTCCAGGTGTGGGAGGAGATCCCCCAGGAGACCATCTGCCACCTCATCAGGAGCATGCCCAGGTGTTGTAGGGAGGTCATAGAGGCACATGGAGGCCACACACACTACTGAGCCTCATTTTGACTTGTTTTAAGGACATTACATCAAAGTTGGATCAGCCTGTAGTGTTTTTTTCCACTTTAATTTTGAGTGTAACTCCAAATCCAGACCTCCATGGGTTGCTAAGTTTGATTTCCATTGATAATTTTTGTGTGATTTTGTTGTCAGCGCATTCAACTATGTAATGAACAAAGTATTTAATAAGAATATTTCATTCATTCAGTTCTAGGATGTCTTATTTTTGTGTTCTCTTTATTTTTTTGAGCAGTGTAAAACATAACAGAATAAGGACTATGGGGTGACAGCAGAGTTCAAACATCTAAGGGGCTGTCAGAAAGAAGAGGGAATCAACCTATTCCCCAAAGTACCTGAAGGTAGGAAAAGAAACAATGGATGGAAACTAATCAAGGAGAGAACAAACCTAGAACTAAGGAAGAATGTCCTGACAATTAGAAGAATTAATCAGTGGAACAGAAGGTCTATGTGCTCCAACACTGGAGGTTTTTAAGGAGAGATTGGACAACCATTTGTCTGAAATGGTATAGGTTTCCTGCCTGAGTAGGGAGTTGGATTAGAACACCTCCAATGTCCTTTCCAACTATATTATTCTGTAAAAAAAAACAATAGTATATTATAATTAGTAGTAAGATCATCAATGATCAGCCAATCTGCTTAATTTTACAGATAGTATAGCAGAATTTAGCTATATTCACTATCATACGTATGTGATAGTAACAGCTGTACATAAAAGATTAGAATTTCCTGGTTTTGTACCAGGTCAGGAGTTATAAAATGGGTCCATGAATTCTTATACAGGGTAACAGGATATGAGCTGCAGTTTCAATGGCCTCTTGTTCACAGGGACACGATCATATGGAACTGTTTAGTATTGGCTGTCCAGAATATGTATGGAGAGACCATTACAACATGTTAGAGGTACTGGTCTACAAAATTTAGGAAGAGTTATAGAAGTATCTCACTCATTTATGAAGGAGGGAACTTGACTGCTCAATAAAACATTCTTATTCTTAACAATAGTAATCTTGTAAGTTAAGACGGTCTGTTACTGTGTTAAACTTACCAAGTGGAAAGTTAAGTAAGGCATTAAAACTGGGCTCCTTGTGTTCTTATCCAACAACACTGTTTTAAATAAGCCAGTATTTTGAAAGGGATGTCTTTGCTGAATTTGGAGAATCAAATAATTCATTTGAACTGCTTCCTACCCTGCTGCTAAAAATAGTCCAGTTATGATCATATTCCAATTGTGATGAAAGCATTTTTCATCATTTTAGCATCCATAATAACTGAGCTGAATCTTGAAATCCCAGACCAATTTTTAGATTATTAATAAGAAAATAGAAGCAAGCTGGTGAGCAGTTTTGAAAATACAGTATAGTTTAATTTGGATGAATGTGTAACCATAATTACTCCAGAAAATTCATGTCAACTTTACTTTCACACACCCCATTTTTATATTTTGTAAATATGAAAAAAAAAAAAAAAAAAGCTGGAAACCTGCTTGTTCTGAGATACTGAAAGTTATTTCTGAATTTTTTTTTCTCCCAACAAACGTATTTTGTGATTCTAGCTGTAGTTCTTGAATTGAAAGACTTTGTGTAGTGAAATGAGTCCACAACACAATGAAGGTGTTGCATACATATTTACCTATTAAATGTGAAATGCAATACCTTCAACTATTCAAATGCTTAGCCATGGTTTATGGGTTCTCTATGGTTAAGGAACTATTTCAATTTCATACAAGGCAGAGAAACTGGAGTTCCAAATTTTAGTTAGCACTAGCAAAACTAATATAAGTTTGGATGTCATGTTTAGCCACAACTAAGAGCATATGAGATTGGGGTATGATAGTATATGCCAGGGTTGTCAAACTGGCAGCCTGTGGGCCAGATGCATCACACACAGGCCATGCCCACCCTGGCTCCATGAAGGGGAAAAAAGTCATGAAATGTCACATGATAGCAATGTGATGCTGCGAGTTTGACACCCATGGTATATGCTTTTCAGGTTGATCAACCAGAGAAATTAAACATATTGGGCAATATACTTGTTTCATTACATAGTAATTGCAGATATCCAGAACATTAGAATAAGGTTTGATTACTGTTCCAATCAACAAGAAAGGAAAAGGATAGAGAAGACAATAAGTTTACCTTTGTCTGTGAAGACATACAGTAGGCCATTTTGGTGAGTTGTGCTCCATTATTTCAACAGCTGTATCAGCATTTTTAAAAATCGAATTATCCAGTATTATCCTGAGCACTAGGTCAGGTTTATCTTACTCAAAAGGAATTGGCATTTTACATACTTAGCTTTATAGGGCTGAGCTCTTTAACATTTCTTGGCTACATTTCTTTTTTTAACATCAAAAGGATTGTTGCATTCTCTGACTTGGAAAAATAGAAGGATTTATGTGTCACCTGTGTCCCTCTGTATTTTATTTGCTGAGTTAAATACATCATTGGAGTTTTCAGAATAAAAAGGAAGACAAGTAGGCAGAGATTGCTTTCTATCAGAATATCCCTGCAATTCAAAGTACAACATAGAGTTCATACTGCAATTATAAAGCATATAGGGATTAATCATCATTCAAATTAATTAAATTAGAAACATAGAATTATAGGGCTTGAAGGGACTTTGGAGGTCTTTAGTCCAACCTCCTGACCAAGACAGGAGACCTTATGTTATCCTGGACAAATGGCTGTACAATGTTTTCTTGAAAACTTCCAGTGACCCAAAACTCCAGGAGACAAGCTGTTCACCTGATTAATTGTTCTCACTGTCAAAAAATTTCTACTTAACTCTAGGTTGGATCTCTCTGATAAGTTTCCATCATTTATTTTTTGTCCTGCCTCTGTTGCTCTGGAGAATAGACTGAACCCCTCTTCTCTGTGACAGTCCCTCAAATATTGGAAGTCAGCTATCATGTTACCCCAATCCTAGTTTTCTTAATTAGGCCAGATTAAATCAATTTAAATTTAATAAAATTCATTTTTGTCCTGCCTGAGTACATTTTTTGCAAAGTGGTACATTACCTGAAAGTAAGATGTAGCTCTGACCAAAAAGTTGCCCATCATTGCTTTAATATATTCAAAAGAAACACTTTATTAGAATGTCAAGAATTGCCTTCTTACAATCATATTATTTTGAGGAAGTGGAAGAGCTATTTACTAATTAAAACACTGTAAAATTGACCATTGTACTAGTATATCATCAACATTCTCGTCGAATTATGTTTTAGCAATGCTCAAGAAAGCCTTGTAAATAAAATACAACATAAATAACCTATTTAAATTACTGGTAGCTAATGTTTTACCAATAGATATCCATCATTCTGAGAGTTTCTAAAAATTATAATTGTTGCCATATTATAATTTTCACTACTGTATACATTTCACATGCAACTATTTTGAATATTGTTTTGCTTTGTAAGGACCTAGTTAGAACTTTTTTCATGCAACTCCCTTAAATATACCCATTTTTGTTTGAATGTTTTGAGCTGAGACATATTGAGAGAAAAATGCTAGTGATTCTGTGATTTCTTTTCTGTCTATTCCATGACAGAATTTTGGCAGCTGATGCCCTTTCTCTTGAAAAGAAATTTAACAGATTTCACTTACATTTCTAATGAAAGCCTAGCAAAATTATGCATTATCCACAGTGGTGGGATTCAAAAAATTTTACTACCAGTTCTGTGGGCATGGCTTGATGGGCGTGGCAGGGGAAGGATACTGTAAAATCTCCAGTCAGAGATGGCATTTTCTGGTTGTCTGAACTATTCAAAATTTCCACTACTGGTTGGTTCTCCAGAACTGGTCAGAACTTGCTGAATACCACCACTGATTATCCAATTCTGGTGGCTCTTGTAGCAAATAATGCTGTGATAAAATCCATAACATAAACTTTGCATGAGCTACGTGAAGAAATATGTTCTGAGAGTCTTCCTAATTTGTATTTAAAAAAGGAACCAGTCTCAAATTCAGTGGCAATTTAATCTGTAATGTAAGTTTGACCAGTCAAAAATGTGTACTGTTGACATTGTCTGTCTGTCTGTATGTATGTCTGATGGATTCAGCAAAAGACACCCAATTAATGACCATTTGTGGTCTAACTGCATGGTAGACCACAAATGGTCTACCATGCAATGGACCACAAATTGAAGGATTTATATTTTTGCAGTCACCTGGTTGCTTGCTCTTTGAGAATCATTGAGGCCATTTGGGGATTTATATTCCAATTTTTCCATTCCCCATCATGCACTGAAGAAGCTTATTGAATGAAAAGCAAAATGTTTTCAAGGAAGAAAAAAGTCCAGTTACCTTTTGGCAAAGCACTTTTGGGACAATCATGACCTGAATGATTGAGGATTGGGTTGAAAACCTGCTTATTGCCTTTGGTAGATACTTGGACCCAAACTGTGCAAATTTTTCAGCATCATGTTCTGTGTTGAGTCCCCAAGAAATTGCCAATTCTTTATTGAGTGACAACTCATCACCCATATGTTCTTGAGCTCAGAAGGAAGTGTTGACACTTAAGTTATCTAAATCAGAATCAATTTAGAAGTCAAGGAATGCCCTGGAAGCTCTGTTGTAGTATAGCTTGTCTTGACACTGCTCTTTAGATGAGAAAGAACACCAGGGATGGTATACTATAAAGAAGATGTTGATGCTGAGCCAATAACCAGACCTACAACTTCAGCTCTAGACCTAATAGTTCCTGATTTAGACCATAAGCTTCATCTACCCAACTCTGATCAATACTGAAACAGAAATAAGAATATTTACCTATGTTGAGAAAAATTTAACCTGGTAGGGTGAATTAGGAGTAACTTGTTGAAAGAAACAAGTTATTATTGGGATTGCCTATGCTTAGTAGAATAAGAGAGTGGTGAAATGTATGAAATAATGGTACTTGCTAGTTGTTGCCTGTCTGCAAAGACTATGATTTCTATTCTAGAATTTCTATGTGGAAAGACCTTCAATATTTAACATTGTTTCTGAACTCGTTTTCTTGGGTTTGATCCACTTCACTGTGAAGCTGCTTATGTGAGTATAAAACTTGGTCTAAAGTTATAATTCTGAAATAACCCTAAAACCTTAAGTCAATTGAGCAGTGCTGTTAGTGATGCCAAGGCAAGTCCTTTGTAAAAATCGTTATATATTTTCAAGGATATCAGTTATAGCGGTCATAAATAGTCGGATAAATATCTGTCTTTACAGTAAGTTAATGTGTTGTATTGTGATAACATGTGATATTTTGACTTGGGTTCTCTTGGCTAGGTTAGAGATAGCTATTTTTAGATAAGGAAAATTAATTCAACTGAACAAGGAAGATCAGTTTGTACTTCTGACAAAGTTGGAGAAGATCAAGGAGTTAATTGGTTCATCCTACAGAAAAGGACACTTTAATAAGAAACTTGAATAGGGTGACCTTTCAGGAACTTACTGTGCACAACAGAGAATCCAAAAAGCTGTCTGAAAACAGTGCCCCTTTGGATAAGTTATGGTCTGACTTGTCAGAGTTTTCCATTTGACTCTGCTGAAAGAACTGTGCATTTGCAGCTACCTCTGTAGGAGAAGAAAACACCAAAAAACAAACACGCAACACAAGATCAACTGTTTGCATATATCAGCTTAAATAAATGGAAGTTATAAGTCAAAAACTCCACTAGATTGACTGCTACAGCATGAAAATGCACATAAGAAATCCTCAGCTTATAACCAGTAGTTTTAGAGATGGTTCAAAGTTATGACAGATATCCCGAAAGCTACTTACTACCCAGTTTTGAAGTTCCAACTTCACTCCTCTCCCATCACATGACTGCATTTTGGGGACTCGGCAACTGGCTCACGTTAATGACCATTTTCAGTGCCCCATAGTCATGTGATTTACAAAGGTTTTGCTGGAATCTGGTGTTTTCTTCCAGTAAAAGTAATGGCAAGTGTTTATGATAATGGAAAAAAACAGCCATTAGCAAACAATGGGTTCACTTAACAACTGCCACAAATTTTTTTTGCAAAATTGGGTCTAGTCACATGATGACCCACTTTTTGACTATTGCGACATATGACAGTAATTGCCAGGATGAATTTCAGTCATAACTCAAGGATTCCCTGTATTGTGCCAGGTGCAGAAATTCTCCTCCCAGAATAGTTTGATGGAAAAATTTACTTTAGAAAGCTTTCAAAGGAAAGTTGTATATGAAAATACACACATACATGCAATGTGTATGTTGGTATTATATGTAAGTATGTAGCCAAGGATATTTGGGTGACTTTCTTGTTCTTAATTTTATTGTTCTTGTTAGTTGCCTTAGGTTGAGTGGCAAGTAAGTTGTTGGATATATAAGTAAAAATAATGCATAAATTGTTTCCATGATGGTCTCCAGTTTTTCCAGATTTTTAATACATTCTGGGGAAAGACTTCGTCTCAAAGATTTTGTGAATTTAACATTTTTATTTCTTTAGTAAAATGTTGTTTTCATGTTGTGTACACTTTAATTTAGTTACATGATGCATTAATTTATTGAGATCAATTTGCTTCCCCAGTCCATCTTAATACTGATAATGTTGGCTTGTGCATCTCAATATTATTTCCATCAACTGGCAGGGCAGGGGTGGGATTCTACTGGTTCGCACTGGTTCGAGTGAACCAGTTGTTATGATTCCTGGTAGTTTGGGGAACCGGTAAAAGGGGCCCTTGGCTGGCCCCGCCCCTCTCTGCCCACTCCTCCATTCCCTGCATGCATGTGCGGCATCTCTGGTTCAGCCTGTTTTTGCATGCCTGCCAGCCACCAGGACAGCCATTGCTGCCTGCCTTCTGCTGCAGCCCTGCCAGAACTATCTCCCTGGGTGATGGAGCAGCAGGTGAGAGAAGCAGCCGCTGACCTGGCCAGAGCCTACATGAGCCTCTCCATTGTTCCTTCCTGCTGCTCCAGCTGGGAGAGCAAGAGAGTGTTTCCTGGCAGAGCAAAAAGCTTGCAAGTCCTCCTCCCATTGGGAAATGGCTCCAAGCAGCAGAGAGAAGCAGGATTCAAACCTGGCTGCTTTTCTGCTGCCCAAAGCCCATTTCCCAATGGGAGGGGAACTTGCAAGCTCTGCTGGTAAACACTCTCTTGATTTTTCAGCTAGAGCAGCAGGTGAGAGAAATAGCCGCTGACCTGGCTGGAGCCTACACGAATCTCTCCAGTGACCAGTGGTGATGGCAACAAAAAGGCGGGGGGGGGGAGGCGACTGGCAGTGGCAGATAGACGACTAGGGCTTGCAGAGCCTCACTCACCCAGGAACGAGCTCCACAGAAAGAGATTCCAACTCGATCAGTTAAACAAAGATTTCCTAATTCTACACCTGAAATTGAGCAACAAAATCCACCCTCTACTTTGGGACAAGATACAACAACTTACAACTTGGAGAGCTGAAACTGAAACCACTTACAAAAATGACAAACTCCTGAAGAAACAGTAGGTGCAGTAGGTGGAAAGGTGGAAGCCAAAGAACAATGTGAACTAAGATCTACGAGAGCTGCTAAACCTAACTACAAAATATAACCATGGAAGAGAAAAAACTGATTACAATTAATATAAATGGACTTAACTCAGCCGTTAAAAGAAGGAAAACCTTTCATAAATTAGAGAAAGTAAAATTTGATATAATTTGTCTACAAGAAGTACATATTAAAAAACAATATGAACAATTGTTGATAAAGCCAAAACTAGGGAAAATATTTACTTCCTTGACACAATGTAAGAAAAGAGGAGTGGTTTTATATATTAAAGAGACCATCCCAGCAAAATTGATTTATACCAATGATGATGGAAGAATACTAATGGTGGAAATAATGGACAATAATACGAAAACACTCCTGATTGCAATCTATGCTCTGAATGACAAACAAGAAGAATTCTACAAAAAATTACATATGAAAATAATTGAACTGGACTATGCTAATATAGTTATGATGGGAGATTTTAATGGAATTGTAGACAATAAATTGGACTATACAGCACAGAAAACAATAAAGCAAAACAGAAAGACTCTCCCTAAATCTTTTTTTTAAAATGGTAGATGAAATAAACTTAAAAGATACATGGAGAGAAAGAAATGCTAAGACTAAACAATACACCTTCTATTCAAATAGACACTTATCATGGTCCAGAATAGATATGATATGGATGTCAACAGAATTAATAACTAATATTCAAGAAATAAATATTGAAACAAGTACTTGGGCAGATCACAATCCAATTACAATTAAATGGAAAGGACAAAAAAAAAAAGATCTAGATGGACGTTAAATAATACTATTTTAAAGGAAAAAGACTTCACACAGTGGATGGAGAAAGAATTGCCTTTTTTCTTTAGAGAGAAAAAAAAGAAGATACATCAATTCAGAATGTATGGGATACAATGAAGGCATATGTTAGAGGCTTGAAAATAGACTATACAAGGAAAAGGAATACTATGAAAAGATTGGCCTCTAAGGCCTTAGAGGATGAGTATAAAAGACTTGAAAAAGAGCTACAGAAAATGCCACAGAAAAAGGACATTAAGCTAAAAATGGATATAGTTAAACATAAAATGGGTCAAATAGAAAAAGAAGAATTAGCACAGAAAATTAGAGGCGCTAAACAGAACTACTTTGAAGACGCAAACAAACCAGGTAGATGGTTAGCATACAAATTGAGAAAGGAGAAAGAATCAAGGAAAATATTGCAATTAACAGATGACCAAGGCCAAGTTTGCTATGGTAGTAAAGAGAAGAAGGAAATCATTTGAGACTTCTATGGGAAATTATATATGCAAGAGAATATTGATGAGGAAAGAGTTAAACAGTACTTACAGAATGCTAATTTACCTCAGATACCTAAAGAGATTGAAACAATGTTAGAAAGCAATATAATGATGATGGAGTTAACTGAAGCACTCAAGAAGTAAAATAATGGAAATGCACCAGGCCCAGATGGACTTCTGGCAGAATTTTACAAAACATTACAAGAATTGTTGAATCTTCCATTGCTAGAAGTTATGAATGAAGTTATGTTAAAGAAGAAGATACCTAAATCATGGTCAGAAGCCTATATTACACTTATTCCAAAAGAGGAGGCCAATCCATTACAAATTAAGAACTATAGTCCTATTTCTCTACTAAATGCAGATTATAAAATCTTTGCTTCAATATTGGCAGAAAGACTTAAAAAATATCTAAATAATTTTATTCATCCTGATCAAAATGGATTTCTGCCAAAGAGACAAATTAAAGATAATATGAGAGTAATCTTGGACACCTTGGAATACTACGAGGCACATCCTGAAAAACAAATGGCTCTGATATTTCTATATGCACAGAAGGCATTTGATAATGTGCATTGGCGATTCATGTTATTACTGTTGGAACAGATGGGTTTTGCTAGGAAATTTATTCAAGCAATAGAAGCTATATACTATAAGCAAACGGCAAAGGTAACTGACAGATTCTATCAGTATAAGAAAAGGAACAAGACAAGGGTGCCCACTATCACCTTTGTTGTTTGTGTTAAATTTGGAAGTGCTAAACAGAAATATTAGAGATGAAAAGAATATAAAAGGAATGAAAATCAAAAAGGAAGAATTTAAGCTGCAAGCATTTGCAGATGATCTGGTTTTCATCTTAGAAGAGCCTCTAGAAACAGCACCAAAATTGATAGAAAAGATAGAGACATGGAAAGTTGGCTGGTCTGAAAATAAATAAAGATAAGACAAAGATCTTGACAAAGAATATGCTATTAAGACAAAAGGAAGAACTGGCAGACCAATTGAAAATTCAGGTCACGAATAAGATCAAGTACTTGGGGATATATTTGACAGCAAGATGTAGTACATTAAAAGAGAATAATTATATCAAACTTAAAAAGCAGATAGCGCTAGATCTGGCGAAATGAGAAAATTTACAACTGTCACTAATAGGGAGAATTTCAACAATCAAGATGAATGAATATATTACCCAGAATTTTATATTTGTTTCAAACAATTCCAATTAGGCTTGGAAAAGATTACTTTGAAGATTTAAACAAAATTGTGTTGAAATATATATGGCAAGGTAAGAAAGCGAGATTAAAGTTAAAACTTTTGCAAGATGCTAGAATTAGAGGAGGATTTGGTTTGCCTAATTGGGAGTTGTACTATCAAGCTACAAATCTGATGTGGGTTAAGGAATGGATAACACTAAGAAATACTAGATTGTTGACATTAGAAGGACATGATTTGTTGTTGGGGTGGCATGCTTTTTTATGGTATAAAGGAACTAAAACACAGGGGTATTTTAGAAGACATTATATACAGGAGTCTCTGTGGTTAAACTGGAAGAAGATTAAAAGACAATGTTATTTGAAAATTCCAGTCTGGCTATCAACTATTGAAGCATTTTCTTATCCTATAATATACAAAAAGGAACAAACAGTTAGATATGGTGAAATATTGAATGAAAAGGGTGAACTCAAATCTATACAAAAACTAGAGGAACAAGCTATAAAGATGAATTGGGAATTTTACCTGAAATATATAGTAAAGACTTGAAATACCTGATTGTAAAT